TAAATGCCTACAAACAAAAATCCATACTGTAAAATTCTAACAAGTGGGTTTATTCTTTCAATATTTTATTGCTTATAATGCATGAGTAGATTTAATGCATATAGCTGTACTTAAATGCTCAAGTACTTTACTGAGAGTAACAGCTTCTTCTAAAAGCGTTGCTGTATGCTGTGTTTCTGTTTATATTATGATGGTCCTTCAAATAGTCTGATGTAGAACAAACCAAAATATACATTTGAAATGACTACTTTCCTTGACAACTTGATTTTTTTTGGTCAAAAAACTGAAGATCAAAATCTTTTGAACTGAATTTTACAGTCTTTGGTTTTTCAAAATTTTATACATTTTCCCCTTGTCTTCATTGAAATTCTTGGCAAAAGAAAAAAACATTCATTTTTTATTAATAATATTTAACTACCTCATGGAGATCTAGAAATAATTAGTTACTGCTTGTACAGTGCATTGAGTATGGAACATACTATTAGAAAACCTATGCTGCTCTGAAATAGAAATGTGCCTGTGTGGCTAACATGACCCATTATAACACCTATTAACTATTTCCTTCAGATTAAGTTATTGAACGCTACTCTGGCACAAATGTCCATATAGAACATGAGTCAGTTAAATTTGGGGTGAATGCCAACTTTCAAAACAAGTTAAACTTGTTTACCCTAAGAACCATCCTCTTTATAGGGGTTTAATTCTGCAGGACAGACTCCATAGTTTGGACATAGAAGATTGTTTGGTAAATCTGTGCTAAGGCTAGCTCTAGGTAGAGGTAGTTGCCTTAAAGAAAATTAAATGAATAATAATTTTGCATTTTTTTTTTAATTCAGGAAACTTCTGGCATGATTTAGTCTCACTTCCCAGAAGGTATCCGATGCAATGCTCTCCTTCTCGAACACGTACTCCTAGCAGCACGTGATTGTTTCCCATTAGTGAAGTGGTCCAATAACTGCCTTCTTCTATGAATAAACTAGAGCAACCCTAATTTAATTTTGAGGAAAGTAATTTCACTCTTGTTTATCTCCTGGAAACATACCTCCTCATTATGGTTGATGAAATTGTGACAGCATCATGGCTGGTCTTGTTCAAACTTAGATTTGCGGTCAGAAATGAAAAAGACCTTCATGCACTAACGTTTAATTATAAAAGCACTTTTTGCACTACTCCAAAACCAAACCCATAGTTCTGTGTATTTGGCTTTTTTCTCTTTCAGGTAATGATAAAGAGGTGGAGAACCAACCTTGGCCAAATCTGTACTTAGTTCTGGGAAAGTCTGAGTTTTGGCAAATATGCTGAGGAAAATGTAATGACCAGCAAACCTGAGGCTGAGGCAGCCCAACATTTTATCTCCTGAGTCTAATTTCAAGTTTTCTGACATCTCTTAATTGACTTCAGTGCATGCATTTGATGGCATCACTTTAGTTTTCCAGAAATGCTTGCACAGTTTGGAGGGGGAAAAGAAACCATTTTCTGAGTGGATACCAGCACTGCTGTAACTATCAGTAGTAGATTCATGGCAGAACATGCTCAGATTCCCAGCAACACTGAAACCAACCACAATTTTTTCTTTGAGGTTTGAGATGGTTTGGACTATTATTCTTCTGAAGAGTAGAAAATAGGAGGATACTTTTAACCTATTAAATAGGTACTTTGCGTCAGTCTTTCATCAGTCCCATGGGACGCCCATGCCCGCTACAGGGCCGGGAAGTCCGGGTGAGGGTGATCCCCTGCCCTCCATTAATGCTGACTTTCTGAAGGAACATCTTGAGAAGCTGGATACCTTCAAGTCAGCTGGCCCTGACAATCTTCACCCCAGGGTACTCAAGGAGCTGGCGAGCATCATAGCCCAGCCTCTAGCACGGATCTTTGAAAACTCTTGGCGCTCTGGTGTAGTGCCCGAAGACTGGAAGAAGGCCAATGTGGTGCCTATCTTCAAGAAAGGGAGGAAAGTGGATCCGGCTAACTATAGGCCCATCAGCCTGACTTCTATCCCGGGGAAGATCTTAGAAAAGTTTATTAAAGAGGCCATCCTTAATGGACTGGCCGACGCCAACATCTTAAGGGATAGCCAGCACGGGTTTGTTGCGGGTAGGTCTTGCTTGACCAATCTCATTTCCTTCTACGACCAGGTGACCTATCACCTGGACAAGGGAGAAGAGATTGATGTCATATATCTTGACTTCAAAAAAGCCTTCGATCTGGTGTCCCATGATCGCCTCTTGGAGAAACTGGCCAATTGTCGCCTTGGGTCCTCCACGATCCACTGGCTGGGAAATTGGCTCCGGGGTCGGACCCAGAGGGTAGTAATCGATGGAAGTCACTCATCGTGGTGTCCTGTGACCAGTGGGGTCCCCCAAGGCTCTGTCCTTGGACCCATACTGTTCAACATCTTCATTAATGATGTGGACACTGGAGTCAGAAGCGGACTGGCCAAGTTCGCCGATGACACCAAACTTTGGGGCAAAGCATCCACACCAGAAGACAGGCAGGTTATCCAGGCTGACCTGGACAGGCTCAGCAAGTGGGCGGACGAGAATCTGATGGTGTTCAACGCTGATAAATGCAAGGTTCTCCACCTTGGGAAGAAAAACCCTCAGCATCCTTATAGGCTCAGCAGTGCTATGTTGGCTAGCACTATGGAAGAAAGAGACTTGGGGGTCATCATTGACCACGAGATGAACATGAGCCTGCAATGCGATGCGGCGGCTAGTAAAGCGACCAAAACGCTGGCTTGCCTCCATAGATGCTTCTCAAGCAAATCCCGGGACGTCATTCTCCCCCTGTACTCGGCCTTAGTGAGGCCGGAGCTGGAGTACTGTGTCCAGTTTTGGGCTCCACAATTCAAAAAGGATGTGGAGAAGCTTGAGAGAGTCCAGAGAAGAGCCACGCGCATGATCAGAGGTCAGGGAAGCAGACCCTACGATGACAGGCTGAGAGCCCTGGGGCTCTTTAGCCTGAAAAAGCGCAGGCTTAGGGGTGATCTGATGGCCACCTACAAGTTTATCAGGGGGGACCACCAGCATCTGGGGGAACGTTTGTTCACCAGAGCGCCCCAAGGGATGACGAGGTCGAATGGTCACAAACTACTTCAAGATCGTTTCAGGCTGGACATAAGGAAGAACTTCTTTACTGTCCGAGCTCCCAAGGTCTGGAACAGCCTGCCACCGGAGGTGGTTCAAGCGCCCACATTGAACACCTTCAAGAGCAAACTGGATGCTCATCTTGCTGGGATCCTATGACCCCAGCTGTCTTCCTGCCCTTTGGGCGGGGGGCTGGACTCGATGATCTTCCGAGGTCCCTTCCAGCCCTAATGTCTATGAAATCTATGAAATGTGTTTTTCTTCTTGAAGAGAAAAATCCCCATTTTCCCATCTGGATCCCTGGTGATTAGAATCAGATATGTATTTCCAAATAAGGTCTCATCAGTACCTTGCACAATAGAATTACTTTCCTACCTCTGCTAGAAGTGCACTGATCTTTTTACATGGGTGTATCACATTAGTAACTCAAAATCACCATGTGATAGGTCAGTACACTGAGGCCTTACTCCTCCTCAGTCTCTGGCTTACAGCAGAAATTCTTGTTATCATTCCTTCAGTGCATGATCCTGGAATTCTGTAATGCATTTATGTTACTATAGTCCTGAAGGTCTATTATCATCTTGTAGGAAAACCTAATCCTCCTCTGCACTGGTGATACCTGTCCAGTTCATGTCCTCAGCAAATTTCCCAGAAGGCATGTAAGATTCAGCTCCAAGACAATCCTTGAAGATTTTCTGTAGCAGCTTTCCTGGAGTAGTCTCTAACTTCAATCCAAAAGGAAAGACTAGGAAGATATGCTGGGGTGGAATAAGATATTTGCTTGTTTAGGAAAGGGGATAAATGGAGTGGTGGTTTAGGGTGTGGACTAAATTCTAATCCAAGCATGTCTTAGTATTAATTCAGCTAAAGGATGGCAAAAGAACAAATGATCACGAATAGTCTGGAAAATAGGAAACTTCACAGGAAAGAAATTGTGGAATACCTTTCCACTAGCAATGGGGTTGATGAGGGGCAAAACAGTTAGCTAGTTTTAAGATTAGGTTTCAGTTTCTGAAAAGATTTTTAGGATGTGGTTACTCAAGGTAGCAGGGGATTGGTCTCAACCCAGGAGCTACTTTCCAGTCCTATGTTCACTAGAGATTTTACATGAAGCACTGAAGTACTACAGTGGAAAACAGCACTATACAAGAACAGTTCATATTCTTTAATGCTATACACTGAACAGGTAAGTTTCGTCCCTTCAAATCACATATTCTGCAAAAAAGTATTATTTGTATTGTGGTAGCAATTCAGACCCTTGCTCTTAGCTTGACTTCACACAAACAGAATAGATACTTTTAATTATTCAAAACCCCCAGAAGAATACCTTCCTATAAAAAATTTAAAAAGATGCTGAAAGGCAAAGCATAGTCCCACAAAGCCTGAAATGTCAAAGTTATGTCTCCATGGGAGATAGCCATGCTCATCTGAAATCAGGTAGAAGGCAGGGTAGATTTCCACATTTATGAACTAACTAAATCAGAGACGTAATCATAACTCTGCCCTGTGTGTAAACGCATTATGTGCTACTATTCCTGCCCTTAAAATGATGGAGAAAAACTACTGAAAAGCTGCCACTTTCACTAAGCACTTAGTAAACTTTGCAATGAATGAGGCAATGATCCTGTGGAAACAAAAACTGTAAGATCAGCACATAAAAGAATGCTTATCGGCATATAGACAGTAAAAGAAAGAGCTAAATTTGCATGGAAACAAGCTTCGGCATT